AAAAAAAAAAAAAAAAAAAAAAAAAAAAATGTTGTTAGGTTTTTCTTCCATCAAGTATGTGATTGTCACAAGTTCAGAAGTCTGGGATTCCTGGGTTCGGCTGGTACCAGACATCCCTGTGGACAGAATTCCCTGATTGCCAGCCCACGCTAGCGCCTGTAGGGGTGAAATCCTTGCACGTTATGGTTCTGTCCTCGTCCAAAACCACTTCCTCCTGCCGGTGGGCCACTGGATGGTTGCACCGAGGGGCCTCCGTAGGGAGGGGGTTGCTGGCTGGGATCAGAGAAACCTTGTCCGAAACCACTCAAGTCTTGTCCATACCCTGGGGAGAAGGGGAAAAGGCAGCAGTCAGCTCCCAGCTTGTCCCCACCTGCACCAAGAGGCAAATTCAAACTCCCTCCCCCCATGCACAGCCTCAGGAACAAACACCTCAGTCTTACACCTTAAGGGAAGCAGCTGCTTCCAGCTCCTGCAGTGATTTACCTTCTGTACAGAAGAAACCGGCAAAAAGCAGAACTGAACCGGTGTGCAGAGATGGCAGGTTTTGCTTTTGAGGTAATCCTACCCAGGCTGGAAGTTCAAGCTATCCTGTTACGGCTGTTCAGAAGCTTGAAGTGGCTTGCAGGTTTGCTGTCAGCTCATTCCAAGTATTTTTACTTTGTTTTGGGTTGGGTTTTTTGATGGGCTAAAAACTAGTATTGTCAGGTTCAGCAGAGAAGATGTAGCAAAGAAGTTTTTCCTGAAATCTCACAGCTATTATACTGCAGCACCTCAGCTTGACTGAGCAGAGTTCTTAGACTCTGGCTTTGTTGAACCAGCTTCACCACCTTCCCTGGACAGTCAAAAAACTTCCTTCGCTGAAGAGACACACCGGAGGAAACAATCTTCAGCTCCCTTTCAAAAAACAGAGTACTGCTGCCCAGATATTTAAATGAACTAATCAGCCTCTTTTTCAAGGAATACTCAGCTCAAAAAATGTAAATTGAAGCTTGAGGGGGCAAAGTTGGCAAAGCAGAAGCCAGAAGATTGCGACTACAGCGCCCATGATATACTTTATCGTGGAACCCTTGGCCCAAAGGTGCCCGAGAGAGAACTAAAGTCCTTCCCCGAAAACTCACTGCACGGGCAGGCTCAAGTGTGTTTGTTCCGAGTTCAAAAAACAAGATTTCAGAACCTGACACCCTGTTGCTACCGCAGACAGCGGCTAACGCCTCCAGCCCGGCTGCAGAGGAGCAGCAGTCAGTCAGCAACTCTAATGTCTTTCTCCCCAGTCCCCTGCACCAACTGCACCCAAGTTCAGTCAGTTTTAAGCCTGATTAGGAACTGTCAACTAAAGTTTACACTAACGCGTGCTGTGAGTTACCCGTTAAGTTGTTCTTCCTCAGTCTGAGGGACTAAACCCTTCTGCCTGCTCAGCGGGGCTGAGACCACCGCTCTGCACCACAGCCCTGCCTAAGCCCGGGTTCAGCAGAGGTTTAGAGTAAGCACAATTCGGGGGTAGGAAGGCAGGGTGAAGATGAAAGACTTGCTGGAATTCTCGCTGCCAATATGAAAGACAACTAGATGTAAATTGAGAACACTGAGAAATTTAATAAAAGTTCCCATAATTAAATACAACTCTTAATCATAACAGTGGCATCAGTGCAAGCCTCTGCTATGAAAGATGGAATTAAGAGTCCTAATTACTAAGTACATTTCTGCAGTTCTGCTTCTCTATGCAGGCTTAAAGCAGGTTTAACTCTCTTAATCCAAAACAAAGTCTCTTAGCATGTCTTCAGTATTTCAATTTCAAGCTCTGCCTGTCTCTCAGGACTTGCTACCACTAATGAGCATTAAAACACATCTATCACAGGCCTCTATTAGCTCAAAATGCTAATCCAGTCGTCTTTTTTTTTTTTTTTTCCAGAGATAAGCAGGCAACTAAAAATACGATTTGATTGTTTGCCAGGGGGTGAAGCTTGGAGTGGGAAAAAAAAAAAAATCAAGTTATTCTCACTGTACACCGCAGTGTTAAGTGGTGGAAACCACAGTTCTCATGAAGGAAACCTACAGCATAAACCTGAACAGCCAGACATTTAAGTAGATACTGTCTTCCCCTGGCTTTGTTAACTCCTGCTGCAGCTCTCGGCCTGCACCGGCGCCTCGGAGGAACATGCTCCAGCCCACCCCCCATCCTTCACCCCCAAAATGGGGGCTCCCCTCCCCCGGGGGGCTGTTCCCCCCGCTCCACTCCTGCTTTCTGAAGAACCTGAGCTCCGTTTGATGCCACAGGACAAAGCCTCGCCAATGCAGCAGCTTGGGAAGCCAACAGCAGCCTCAGTCCCACTTAGCGGTGAGTTTTCACTTCAGCCAGCTAAGGAACAGGAAGGGCTGCGCTGCCCTTGCTCACAAAAGTCAACACCTGAGCCGCATTGATCCCCCCCTGCCCTCTTAAAAGAGACCCTGCAAGAAACACAAGTTAATTTCCCAATTGCAGATATATCAAGAGCATTGGTTGTAAATAGGCACCACCTACCTACGGCTTCTCACTGCTCAGCCTGACCATAAGAGTGTAAACAAAGTATTGGCGCGTAGCCTGAAGGGTCTTGAGAATAGGAACCCAGCCCTAGTAAGAAATGAGGAGACCAGGGTGACGAACCCCAAGAGAGCCCTGTACAGAGATAATTTTTCAGGGTGAGGGAGACACACCCCTGTTAGCATTTTAATTTACTAGTGTTTACATTCATCCCAGCCGCAAACATAGCAGCATTTAAGATGCTGTCAAGCCAGGACAAATCTTAAAATGCCACAACGATTAGATAACTCAGTGCCTCTTCAGAGCCCAGAAGCTTTATGCATTTATGTAAATACATGCAGATCAGCTAGACTGCCTATTGTACGGCAATGCTTATGCTAACTAAATTGCGATCACATGAAGTGCTGAAGCTCTTTAAAAAAGTTTCATAAAAGATTTTACACACAGCTTTATGAACAGGTGGATGACTCTGTGGTACTGCAGCATATTCAATACCTCTATCCCTGTCAGCACCAGTAACAGCGTTCAGGCTAGAAAAGCACTCGAGGTGAGAGACTAACTGCAGTCGTGGATGAAACAACTCATCTTCCTGGCCTTCCTCCTCAAAATGCAGTACTACACACCTCTTCCTCCCTCCTCCCTCCCTGCCCAGCACTCTTAAGAGACTAAGAACACTGGCAAAGAGGCTTCTTAGAACATCCAAGCGGCAAGTGGTACCACACACACCAAATACTGGAATCTTCACTCCCCAGTTTTTCACAATGCTGGAAAACAGATTCTCCCTTAACTTCCAACACATCCCAAATATTGGCTCCCCGCTGAGTAGAAATGATTGTGCACAGTATTTATACTTTATTTAATAGGGTCCACCCCCTTCAAAAAGACTCTGCAAAGAGACAAGTTCTGGCAAGACAAGAAAAACTTCTTGAGTCACAAGGGCAAAGTCATCTACAAAAGCAACTGTGTTTATAACAAACTGAAAAATGTTTAAAATAAATCAACATGAAAACATATGTTTGCTTTATAAACACATCTGAAAGGCTGATCTTCCTTCAGAGTCTGTTTTACATTTTTGGAACTTCGAATAGTATCTATGTAAATAACTTTATGAAGCGTTCATCTCCTAACAGTTTCTGCAGGCACTTCAAATGCAGCAGGCAGGAGATGGAGAACTTGTTCAAGTGGGGAACAGTCTTAACCCATGGGCCTACTGCATGAAAAAAGTTCACTTCAGAGGTAAAAAATGAACAATTACTGTCACTTAAAAAAAAAAAAAAAAAAAAGCAGTATGCCACAAAAAGCTCTTTGGAGAACACTGCTCAAAACCAGGGCTGAGTGGAAGAGCAAGATGAGAACTCCCTCTCAGCTTCCACAGGGAGGAGCAGAAATTTTACTCAGGAGCACAATATTTTGTAGTATTGTCTGCCTGGCTTAAAACTTGTTGCATCAATGTCTTCTACCAGCTATCTGAAAGAGTTATCTACAGAGCACAGTTCAGCTTTACACAGTTCAGACAGACCTATAACTTGAGAGACAGGAAAGGAATAGGAGGAAGGAGGAAAAGGCTTGGATTCTTACACTGCTTGCCTCTCTATGCTGTTACTACTCTCAAAGTCTATTCTCCAACCTGATCAGAGTCATTACACAAAAAGTTGCCTTCAAGCTCCATGAAGCTCTTGGGAAAAAAAAAGTTTTGACTACAGATTCAGAGAGAGTGCAGATGAGTAACTTATCCTGGCAGTGCCCAAGTCTCTGAAGACTATTTCACAGCATACAGTGTTTTAGAGTTGATTAAGAAAATACCCCCTGGCTAGAATACTGCATGATTTAAGGATCACTTGAGAGCTGCTGGCTAGCATTCCCATCCTGGAGAGAAGTGCCTCAGTGTTAGCAAACTGTTTCTGAACACTGACCTTCTACTCAAGTATAAAAGAAAAGCAGGAAAGGGAAAAATATCAAGCTGAGTTTATTTTATATGCAGTTACTTACCAAACTGACTATAAGGGAATTCTGGCTGAGCAGTTGGGGGTTTGCTCATGTCCTGAGTTGCCTGAGATGGTGGTGGTGGTGGAGGAAAAGCTAGTGGTGTTGCCCCTGGAGTGGCAGGTGGAGGGGGTACTCCAGGTGGGGCAAACTGGTCAGGTGGAGGAGGCGGAGCACCATAACCAAAACCTGCAACACGAGGAAAGCACAGCACATGTGAACAGACACGGGAAAGCACCACCCTGACCTCCTGCTTGGCTTCAGAGGGCGATACAATTCTTTTAAAAATACTTCCAAGTCTACTAAAACCAAAGTGTTTGTTACCTACAGCTGGCCATTCACTCCTACACTCTGGCAACCACTGTGGCTAAAAGACCCCCAAAACATACCTTCTAACATGAAATCTCACCCCAAAGAAAGGCTGCAGCCACATCAGACACCAACAAAGAGAAAGTGATAAAGTAGAACCAGGGACCAAACTCCAGGCACTCAGAGGAATAAGTAATTTTAGATAACTGGGTGCTATTTTTAAAGCAGGTTTATGACTTAGACTTTTCAAAAGGTGGCCTGAGGGTGTAGGTGCTAAAATCCTATTTACATTTCCAATGCCAGTTACGATCTTAATTCTTTAAGCTTCTCTGAAGATCCCAGACTGTGTCTAGCCCAGTCATCACGCAGTAATCTCTTAACTTTTCTCTCAGATGTAGTAACAGTGGTACACCAAAAATCTAAATATGTTCAGCAACACAGATTTAAACTAGAGAACATACACGATTACTGCACCCCTGAAGAAAAAGTAACCCAACTCACTTACAAAAATACTTAATATAGTTAATTATAGCTCAGAATACACAATCTAGGCAAAACATCTAAGGATGGATGAAACGTAGGGGGGAAAAAAAAAATAATCCAGGTCCAGAGAAATGTAAGCAAAAGCTGAAAACTGCACTTGGCATTGGACTGTACTCAAACTCCTGTAGGTGACTTACTAAATGGTGGAGGGGTGCCATAGCCCTGTGGAAATCCTTGTGGAGGTGGAAACCCTCCCGGAGGTGTAGAGACTATGTATGAGGTAAATGGTGGTGGTGGTGGAGGAGCTCCTCTTCCTGGAGGAGGTGGTCCATATCCACCTGGAAAACAAAGAGAAACCACGAACTAAAGCGGCTTAATAACGAAAAGTTGCTGCTTAAGTCAGCATCCTCTAGATGGGGTAAAGCTGTTTGATAGGATTTCAGCTGCAGCCTCAGCTTTCTATGAATTCTTACTTTGGGAAATACTTGTCCTCCGAGTACCCCCACTGTAAATAACTGCAGCTCAGTATGTAATTCCTTGATAACAAATTGGCATCGTTGGCAAGAGCAGGATGTGTGTCAGGTCCCACTACTGATTTGTTAACAATACACTATCTTCATTCTTTCAGGATAAATTCAATCAAGCTTTTCAATGTAGGTTAAATACTACAGAAATCCACAAATCACTGTGAATTCTTAAAGGAACTGCACCCTTGTTCAGTAGGATTTTTCCTTTAAAATTGGTCCCATATAACGTACTTACCAATTGCCTGTCCAGCTGGCACCCACATCCCTAAAACAGAACAAAAAAGCAACTTATAGATGCACTGAAGCTGCGTACCATGAAACAGGAATGACTTAAAAGAAAGCTGATCTTGCTCGGGGCTCTGGCTATCCTCCCAGTGTCCCTTACAGATCTACAGTCCAAGGAACAGTCTTGGACTATTTCTGAATATGCGATGCTGAAAAGACTCTGAATCACTCAGCAAGAAGAGACAGCAGTCCCCAAACTTGAGTCAGATGGAGCCTTCAAGGGCTGCGAGCACACTGAGAGCAGGAAACTACCCCGGTATAAAGAACAAAACCACTAAGAGTCACAGACTACATTATCCAAAGCATTTTGAACATACTACCAGGTTTATCTGAATTATTTTTGAAGTTTTTGAACCATAAAACCCATCATCTTCTGCATTTGTTGCAGCATTAAGATTGAAAGATAAATGCATTTATGTTTGACGTTAATCTCTGCAGTGCATCAGATAGCTTTCTCTCTACAAATAACCACACTGAAAATAATCCAGTTTCTCAATTTGCGCAGTTGCAGATTAGCACATCTGTGCAGAATGTCAAAGCCTCAGCTGCAGCTTTCAAGTTAATAAGCACCATGGGGAAACAAGCAATCCCTCCACTGAGGTATCATCTATTGTAGAAATAGATGAAGCAGTGACACTCCCTTTAGCCCCCCAGGTGAAAATTTCTCATCTATCAGAGCAAGCAAGTTCTGTTCTGTCAAACGCAACTCAATTATACCACCGTATTTCTCCTGAAGTTATCAAAACTGTCTTTGGATGAACTCAGCATATTTATCCTGTCTTCAAAATCTTGTGGGGGTTTCAGCCATCAAACCCAAAACACACGGCTGCTCCTTTCAGCCCTGAAGGGTTCAAGCTAAATCAAGAAAATTATATGCAGTAAGTGCTCCCCTGCACCACTGCTAGCCCCATAGCTGCTTGTTATTTTTCCCGGCTACATTAAGCAATAAAATCCAAAGACAAGACCATCTGTTTTTCTCTCATCCCTTTCAAATTTTACTTATAACTTCCTTTGAAACTGACTCACCCTTGAAAACCCATATTTCAACAAAATTTTGCATTAGGGTCTCCCGCAGGCCACGAGCCCACAGCTGGAGCTTTCTCAACACCTTCGTGTTACCCAACCCCTCGGTGCCGTGACCTGGGGAAGGGCAGAACCCAACGGAGGAGGCGAAGCTGCCTGGGCCACGTGCTAGACTGGGCTCAACCCACCGACTTCTGCCCTACAAGACAAAGTCTTTTGGGAAAAGCAGCGAAGGAACAACCTCAGCAGACCCGGCGAGGACCAGTGTGTGGAATTTCAGCTCTGCTACTGGCACCCCGGCGGAGCCAGAGCACCAATAAACCCGGGAACACCGTCACCTGCCAGTGCAACCAAATGACCTCATGGTCATTTTGCGCCAGCGAGTCCGAGGCGACTAAAGCAGTACCTTGAGGGCCGTATCCTTGCTGCCAGGTCGGAGGGGGCTGACCTGCCCAGCCATTGGCAGCGCTTGGCATGATCCTGCTTCCCCACTGACTGGCACTGGGCGGCCCTGGAGTTTGGCTTTTGCTATCGCGAGGTTCTGCGCGTTTCACCTCCACCTAAACAAACAGAGTCACAATTTAGGAGAGATGGTGCAGGTTAAAAAACCCCCCTTCCCTTCACACACACCCTTAATTACACTTAAGACTACACTTAGCATCTTATGACTTATGTCTAAATACTTAATTATTAAACTTAAGGCCAGTAATTTAAAATGTTTCTCAGGTACAATATATATGATGGTAGGACATTACAAGTCCTACTGTTGAGGTATTTTGAGTAAAACACATCCTACAAATCACTTATGTTTCATCATAGTACAGTATTCATTGGCTTTAATCTTAAAACAGCAGTACCCTCTTACAACGGCTCTTCACTTTCAAAAAAGCATAATCTTAAATTATTTATATACTAATTTAACATTTAAGGCAGGAGTTAAAGGTGACATTTTCGGTAAGAAGAAAACTTTGAGTAAAGAGTACGCTCTGAAAAAGGGTACTAATGCTTTAACCATTCAAACATGTTTGGGGTTCATTTGAAAGTTACAGTTTAAACCCACCCCGTCTAACTACAATTTCAGCTCTGCTCATACCTGAGAAACACACATTTGTTTGTTTGGTTTTTTTGTTTGTTTGTTTTTAAACTTAGATTTTATTTAAATGTCTAATGGAAGATAAAGACTTACCTTCCCCAGGCTAACGCTTAAAGAATCTCAATTAACTCAAACAATGTCAGAGGGAATGGATGTGATAAGAGAATCTTACATTACATCTAACAAAAAAGTAAACAAACATGCAAGTAATAAAAATGGACAGTTGAGTCAATAAGAAGCAAATCTTCATACTGTGTTAAGTCAGTCACAAAAGCCCTCCTGTTTTTAAAATTAGTAAGCCACAGTGCTTAACTTATTTTATTCAAAGATAAAGTGTCCTAGTGTTCCAAGCCATCGAATAAGTGCATTTGACCTACTTAAAATAAGCTGCACACTCAATATAAACCTCTCTCTCAAAAAAAAATCCAGTTTCTGATTTAATGAAACACTCTCAGCACTCATGCATGCTGAATTAAAGTCTTTTTTTTTTTATTTTATGATTAATTTTAATGGGTGCCAGAGTACAAAGAAAATAAATCTCAATCATCAATGGGCCTGAGTAGTATGGAAAATAAAGTATTCAGAATTCTTCCTGCCATGTCTTAAAAACCATTCATGTCAGAGAACAAACAGGAAACAGGCACAAGGCAAGGACAAAGCCCCCCGCCCCCACCCCACTGCAGATGCCCCAAGGACATGAGACATGACAGTAACCAAATCTCTGTCAGCTGAAGGCCCTTCCAGAGGAACCAAGGGAATTTTTCAAAGGGCTCAAATTAATGAGTCTTAACACATTTGCCTCGAGGGAATTCAGTTATTGCTTACAAAAGCAGAGTCCTTCTTGCAATTTTAATTTTTTTTTTTCCTTTCAACAACATATGGATTCATTTCAGCAATACCTTTTTAATTCCCAAAAAGAAAAGAGATACCATTTTTTACATAGGCATTATTAGTCAATGAAGAGAGCGGAGTATCTGGAATTCATTAATCTATGCGGAAGAATTCCATTAATTTTTCAGTGCACATTTGGAAGCGGTGAACTGCCAAACTGAGGACTGAAAAACCCCTGTGCAATCTTCTTAGTGCCGAGGTTAAAATTCTACACCTGCCCAAAGCCCAGTTTACACCAAGAAATGAGGCATCTCCATTGCTCCTAGCTGAAAAAACACTGCCCAGTTCTGCTTTTTATGTCATTGAGAGGAAAAAAAAAAAAGGGGGGGCGGCACGGGGAGCAAAAATAAGATTTATTTCATTTTGGTACTGAGATTATTTGGGAAACAATGGAGAACTCTGAATTAGCCCTGATGTATTCTGAGACCCGGCAGCGTAAGGGGTGACATTTCGAAGGCTCACCCAGGGTTCTCCACACTCTCCCAGAACCGTTACAGCAGATGTACTCTCCTTTGTTCCTATTTATATCTAGCGTGCTGCTTTGTGATATGACCTCTCATTTCAGTGGTTCATGTAGGTTTAAGGCAATTCCAAGGGAAGATCAGAGGATGCATGTAGGATATAGATGATTCACACACGTACCAATGTACATTTACTGCTGTCAGTGCCTCTGCGCGCAAGTGAGAGTGCTCCACTGCTCACAAGAGGAAAATACTAGTAATCAAGAACAGACACTAGTGGTCTTGATTACACAAGCACATTTCTTCATTTGCTTCCTTTCCATTATTAGGAACCCCAAAACAAGTTCATAGGAATAAAAGCATTATACACTACACGATTAACCAGAATTCCACTGATGTGCAAGAATATATCCCCTGCTGGCTAAATATATCCTTATGAAATATCAGCACACAGAGAGACTTCAGAAGACAATGTAAAATTATACAATGCAATAATTCAAGGAAAAGTGACAGTGTTCTTGTGTTCCCCTCATATCTATTCACTAAGGTTAGCAGTTTACTTTAAAAACTGTGGATAAACTGCAAAGCTACAGGGACTTTACATGTACTAGAATTTCCTGTGGTTAGTTTTTCTTTAAGAAGTTATTATTTCCTCTGTATAAAACTTGGGTGTCCTGCAACATTTACTTTGCTCTTAGTTTTTTTCCACAGGTACAAGCAGGTTCCTTGCTGTGTAACATCAAAGCAAGCCTAAAAAAAATTCCTCCCTATCAAACATCCATTTGCTGACAACACAGTATGAAGATGAAACAACCAGAGGTCACTTAACTGCATTGTGGTTAAATACTATATAGAGTACGTGGGTTTGTATCAAAGTTTCACAGTAAGTGACCCAACTTTTTAAAAAACCAATCCTTCATGATGTTTTTTTCCTTTTTCTTTTTAAGTTTAAGATTACATAAAGTAGGTTGTCTCACGCCACCTCAAAATTTGAGTATCAAATACACATCTGAAGGAGTGGTATCTTAAACCAAGCCTTGAACAACTCAGATTTCATTGGGATTCTGATTTTCCAACAGCTGGAAACAACTAACTTCTATCCTTGCACCTAAGCAGTGCTCAAAACAAAGGCAGCCATCCTCAATTCATTCCCCTGTGAGCTGTGCTCAGCCAGAGCAACCCCCCAGGTCTGTAAGCACAAGGCCTTACCCAAAACAAGACAGCCCACAGCCTAAGTTCTCAGGCTTTCAAGATCTGTGCCTCCCTGCAGGCTAAGCCCAAGCTAACTGCCTTCCCCCGCTGAAGCAAACTCAGAAGACTTTCCCCACCTTCATGGATAAAGCCTTGAATTTGGACTGACATGCTCTCCCGCCTAACTGAACCAACTACTAGGTTTTCTTCACCAGTGAAACTGCTAGTTGCCCAAGACTTGGTTCTTTCTTAAGGTAAAATAAAACTACAACTACACACTTTTTTGCCCATGATGTCGTGAAAATGCATGTTGACAGCCTGGTCCACTGATTGTTCGTCCTCGAAAGTAATAAATCCAAAACCTAGCCAACGACGAAGAGTGAATCAAGGTAGCAGGGTGTTGTGACACAAAACAGGATGATGAACAGTATTAGGGGCGGACCAAGGGTTCAAGCAGGGGTTTCAGATAACCGAGACTTGTGTTAAATTCTCAAAAAAAGTCAATCTGAGAAAATTGCAATGGATACTTCCTGTAATTAGGCAATTAATGCCTCATCTTGGTTTCACACATGCAACTTACAAACGGAGCTTGTTAGCTATCTTTTAATTTCGTTTTATTCCTAACCCACCTACCAGGAAATGGAAAAAAAGTGCTAATATAGTTATGAATATAACTGTGCCACAGGATTAAAAACAAAATACTTGTGGGACAGCAGATTAAAGTCAGGCAACGTTGCTGCTCCTATCTTTGATTCAGCCTAGGTTCCCAAGGAAAAACTATTATGTCCCTGCTCCCCAAAGCTGCAAAGCAACTTCCTCCCATCCCTTATCCCGTCTTCCAATTAGGGAATATTTTCCGTGGAAAATAAGAAAGTTGTCTTTGAAATGTAGCTGTTAAAGCATGAAAAATTTTACCACTCCATGGATGAATGAGAAGCTTCAGAAGCTAACAACCTAGATCAGAGGTTCTCAAGTTTCCACACCTTAGAAAAAGCACATAACAGACGTTACTCCCCTACACACGGCAAGCCCTGCCAGCTAAAGTGTTGCTTAGACAGAATGCGATGCTTGTTGTCACGTCCCTGAATCTATTTTATTTCTTGTATTTCCTGTTGGTTTTCTACTGAAACAAAAAATGTATGCAACACCTTCAGTCCCTCTTTTGCCCAAGCCATTTGTACTAACTCCTCCAGATCCCCAAGAGAGGCTCACACCTCTTATATGACTGCAGCCCTCGATGGTGGCAGCTCAGCTGAATCCAGCAGCTTTTAAAAAGGTTGCGGGGGAGCGTCTGGCACCTGTAGAAGATGGTGGAAAAGAGGCAAAGCCCCAGGACCAGATCGCTTTTGGAGGTCACACTCTGAGAACCACTGCACTTAGGTTGTAGCTGCTGATACTGCCGAGAGAGTGGCAAAATAGTGGTTAATTCCACAGAACACGGCGGCCGGTTCATGCCATCAACCACTCGCTGCTGGTGTAACAACCAAATCCCAGGAAAGGTAAGAACACATGCAAGTACATAAATTGTGCCATTCTTTAGATTAGCTAAGGGTAGAGCAATAAAAATTAGAAAGAAAAACAAGGTGCGGCATCAAAAGCATATGGAACATGGATGCATTTCTGCTTTTCTGAAACCCAAGATTTCCCCCTTGGTTTGCATTTTGCTTTGCAGCTAGTGCTGACAGCAGCCATATATTGCTCTAAAGCGTTAAACAGAAATACAGTATCTATAACAGTTAGTGTCTCTCTAAGCTTATCCAACTGGGTTGGGTAAGCCCAAAGAGGCCTATTGTAGAGAAAGTTTATATATAAAAAAATACACAAAGATACAGGCCAAAATAGATTCCAGCAGGTCAAATTCTGCTGTCAGCAACAAGAGCAAAAGACATCACTAAAATAAAAATAAAAAGGAAAAAACTTAGCATTTCCCACACACAAGAGACTGGCAGTATAAACGAAGTTTTGTTGACCTGTGATGAAAGCAGCCTCCAAACTGAGAGCAGCATTTCATCACAATATATTTGTCTGAGGTTAACTAGCAATCTAAATATTAGAGCCAAAAGGAAAGTATTTGTATTTAAATCACACACGTTGTATTACAGCCTTTATCTAAAAAGACATGGGAAAGAAAACTGATGGATACCATCTACATCTGCAGGTTGCTTGTCTAAATTGATTCCAAGAAGACTGAAGGAGGGGAATAGATTGTGGTACAGGGATGGAGTTTGGAGGGGGAGGAGGAAGAAGAGTAACACGTCGTGGAGGAAGCCAGTAAAGAATAAAAAAAAAAAGGGGTATTTAAAAGGGTCAAACACCACGAGATAAGGAACAGCAAAGAAATCAAGAGTACAATACACAGCAAAACTCCAATGTGAAATTTTCAATACAGTAAAAGTGATGAGCGCTATCATCCAGTAGCTTTATTTTTTTTGAAGAACGGGACTCTGCTGAAGGCCAGAGAAAGTAATCGCATTTAGCAGGAATCCAAGCGGACTGCTGACCAGAGCAGCCACGCTGGTTTGCAGCCAAAGGGTAGAAGAGAACAAACACAGCAAGAACCTGTAAATTACTTCACAGTTGCTGGTTTAGCCAAGACGAGGAAGCACGAGAAGCAGAGAGGGCAACAAAGCCACTGTTTCTTTTAAGATGTAACGAGGCTGGCTGAGCTTATGCTTGGGACTCTGGAAAGAATTTTGATGAGAGCACTGCCTGCAGGAGAGACAACAGAGCAGGTAGGGACTGCGAGGGAGCAGAGATGACTCGGGTACTTGAAGACACACAGCAGCTCCTCAAGGACGTCACTGAAGCTCTGACACTAACCCAGAATCTGGTTCCCAGTGTTCTCGTGAGAAGCTGAAGGTAGATGAATGCTACAGGGATTAGTAACAGGGATCATTTTTTCCCTCCTCCTACCAGCAAACCAGTAAAATGACACGCAGTAAGGGGTCTGGCTCAGAACGCGAGGATGGTAAAGCTTATGGAAGAAGGGAAAATTCAGAACAGTATGAGAAGATGGCAGTGAATTGGCCTTTTAAATTTTATAAATATATAGTCATTTAGGTATCGTGTTAAAAGAACAAGTGTACAGACTGAGCAGCAGGCTGTGCAACAGAATACAGATCAGAAAGAGAAGGCAAGGGAAAATTGTATTCTGGGATGCATGACCAGGAGTACTGAATACAAACTATGAGGAATTTTTCCTAGCACCCCCCCCCAAGGACTAACAAGGCCATTTTTGGAGATGAGAGTTAGTTACCACACTACATAAAAGAATGTAACAGTACAAAAATGAAAGCCAGAGCAATAGGATTCAAGAACGTTGTTTAAGAAGCCAGAGGAATTAAGGGAGAAAGCATTCTGCAGTACATCTGCACGCTGGATGGAGACACGGGGTTTTCAAACCTGGGCCTGTTACCACCCGTAAGTGGACCCAAAGCCCTCTTTTTTTTTTTTTTTTTTTTTTTATAGCTTTAAGCAGAGAAGCATTAATTGAGACCAGGATTAATCCAGACCAGGCATGATGGTTTAGTATCTTTTGCTCAGGGGCTGCAAGGCTGGGATTAAACATTACAAAGATAGAGATGATACAATAATTACTGAAATATTGCAGAACTTCAGCCACAAATTACATTCAGATGCCCGTATCTTTGTCTCCACTGCTTCCTCTATTTAAAATCAGATGCTCTAGAGCATTTAAACAGATGAATTTACGTTCTGCTTAAATAAAAGGTGTCTGTTGAAAGAAGATTAAGATAGCTAAAGCAAGAAAACAAAAAAAACAAATATATTGAAACTTCGTTTACACTCCAATAAAAGACAAAGCCCGTCCCTCCTCTGACTGTGGAACTGGCCTGTACCTCTGTGATAAATTACCACCTAGAGAGAAGAAATCTAAAGAGATATCGTTAATCACAGTCAAACAATTCACAGAGAGAAAAGAAAAAAAAAAAACAACTTACTTAACATTACCATACTTTACTATGAAACACTTAAATATGTCACTAAGGATGTATGTCTAAATTAAAAATAAAACTAAGACTTAACAGCTTAATAAATATGAAGTGAAGAATATATTTCTTAATAATGAGTCAGAAGAGAAATGAAAGTTCAGATGGCAAACTATTCTCTAGCATGTAGAACATGCTACAAGGTGGTCAGTGCAACTAAGCTTCACGTATTTAAAATATTGCCTCTTAATTGTCAAACAGATGACAGATGCAATGGGAAGTGGATGAGATGAAACTTGCTTCATATTTTGACCAAAGGTTACCAACTTCATTAAATAGTCTAGTGAAACTTCCAATTGTTTGGTGTTTTTTTTGTTTTGTTTTTGTTTGTTTGTTAAAAAGGCAGTCTAGCATACAGGGATGATAGGTCCCAATTAGAATATATATATTTTTTTTTTCCAGAATTCTTTAGTGTAGTTTAAGAAGTGATTTTCTTTCATTTTAAGTGAAGCCATTTAACCAAAACAAAAAGCAGATAATGGATGGATTCTGTTCTAATCTCATGTTCAGAAGTACTCTGAACTGGAGTACCCCCCCCATGCAATTACAGACAGCAACATACCTTTAATGTGGAACAGGAGAAAAAGTGCAACAAAATAAGATCCAGGAGGAAAAGAGTTAGCAAAGACTGTATCTAGACAGAGATTCCTTTAAGCAGCTGAACTCAAGTTTTGGTATTAAGTACTGTAAAATCATTTCCATATATTTTATCTTCTCACTAAGCCATCGAGATACTAACTGACAATGGTAACAGTTCACTTCCCCAGCCTTTGGTATGTCCGCAATAAATTGTTGAGCTGTATTCCTGATGGTTCTTTAAAAGAGAAAGTGTATCATTTATCGAGAGATATATGCAATATTTTTCAGGTAGCAATTTTTTTTTTCAAAAATAATTAGACACTACAGCATTGTTGCAGAACATGGATTGGTACGAGAATAGAC